GGTAATATCCTGTATTTGTGTCAGTTCTGGCTCTACCATGATATCCTTCTGTGTGGGTTAGGGTCATGCACATCTATGGTAACGTACAACTCCTCTCTTGATTTAACCCCCACTAACTCCACCACAGAGTGAAGCAGGACATTCACCTGCATTAAGATGCCCAGCTGCCATCAATTAGCCAATTTCAATGGTTCGGATATTTTTCAGTTAGATTGATGATACAAGCCCCCAGTCTTGTCTATCTAATGAACCCATTCACATTTACTCTTTCCTGGATCCTTATTAGAAACCTAGGAAATCAGTGAAATAAAGCAGGAACCAATCAATCAAGAAGCACTTGTTAAGCACCTACTATGTGTTAGGTACTATACAAGGATCGTGCAGAAGTCTAACAAATCCCTGTTCCTATCTCCATCACTATCATTTGTCTACTTCGTAATAGTGGGGTGAGATAAAAAGAGAATTTCTTAGTTCCCAAGGAGATGCCAGAAGTCTTACAGCAAGATTCTGGCTTTGGCTTCCTCAGAACAGGGATCAATAGATAGGTGAACTAGGCTAGTGTAGACAACCTTTCCCTCAACAGTGGACTTTTTCAGGAAAAAATAACTGAAAACCAGTCCAAGTTCCCCACTCTTCTAGCCATTGTAGACAGAGCTCGGAAAAGGATCACAACCAGTAGGAATAAATTACTTGTTTATTCAGGAATTGAGCTCTCATGTTTAGGCTGGATCTTTCTAAGCAAATTGTAACAAATAAAAAAAAATGAATGATTTCATTTAGCATGTGTGAACAGTCAGTGGACCAATCTATGTGCCTAAAATGTAAAGTTTTAGGGTTGTTTAAGGAGAGCAAGAGAAATTGTCTCTAAGTCATCAATATAATTTTCTAAATCAATTTTCCTGGCATAAAAATAGTCTCATTGATTTTTCTCATTCCTTGGTGAGTTTTAGAAAGACTCCCAACCAGGGATAGATAAGGTAGGGGCTAGGATCTCTACAGGTCAAGTTAGACCCAGCATAAACATCGAACCTTGTACCAAAGGCCACATTGAACCAAGACTGTAGGAGGTTCCACAGTTCAGTCACTTTGTAGCTGACAGTCTGATGTCATAAATAAGGGACGATATCAAGCAGTTAAGTGGAATGATCTCCCATGATTTAAGAGGAAATTGAGGCTAAAACTCATGCCAAAAAGCTTCAACCTGGGGGTGGAAAGACTGCTGGCTTTAAAGCCAAATGGGCTGTGGTTGGATCATGGTTTTCCTTTTTACTAACTGTGTGACATTGGGAAAAGTGCTTAAGCTCTCTGGGCCTCATATTCTTCCTCTGTAAACGAGAGGGTTGGAGTAAATGACTTCTAAGGCCCCTTCACTCTCACCACCACCACTCCAGCTAAATGGCAGATACTAGTGAGGCAGGCCAACAAGAGTACAAGATGGATAGAAGGGAATATTTCAAAGCATGTTCACAGCATACTTAGTATTAGGGATTAGGTTTGGGGCTGGGAGGGGCCTTGGAAGTCATCAAAACTGATACCTTAATTTTACAAATAAGGAAACTGAGGCCTGAGGAGGTTATGACCTGTCTTGGAATTCAGTATTTGGAATAACATGTTGCCTTTTTAAAAGTGGAAAACCTAGCATGTCCATTGACACTCAAGAAAAAATTGCTCATACACACTACAATTCCATAGCACTCAGTGAGTACAGACAGAGCTGTTGTGATATTAGGATCTGTGTG